TTCAACCTATGTTTTCGGTTCTGCGACTGAGGATGGTAAAACGTCACAATACTTTGCATATTCCCCATTCTACTTATTGGTTTATAATTGACTTCAGTCACTTTTTTACTTATAATATTCGCAAGCGATAACTATCCAAAAAATCAGTTTCACTTCAAATATTCGCATTCTGCTGGAGAACTTTCAACTATCACAGAACCACCTACGTAGTGATTTACACCCATAAAGTTATTATGGTTATATTCTCTCTATGAGAAAAGGTGGATAGATCATGCTAACCTAACGCGGTGTATTTTATACATGGGCGAACGTGATGCTGCACATAGTGCTTTCTTTTTAAAGTTTAATGTGTTTTCGTTGTTTTAAACAGAAAATATTGTGGTACTCATAAAGGATTTGTTTGTTTTCTATACACGTGAATTTTTAAATTGCACTATTATTTGTCCTCCCCACTTCAACAAGAGTGAGCGCCCTTATAAAACTTCTTCAGTAAGAAGTGTTCCTGTTGTACCTAGATGACGTTACTAAGTGATCATTGAGAACTCAAACATACCAGAGATACTTTGGTCCTAATGGAATTAGAAATAAAGCGGATCTATTATTGGATTTCTCACATTCGGATATGAAAGGGCTCCTTCAGAAACGTTTTCCTTCCCGCAAAGGTCAGGTATTATGGCGCTGTTCAGCAGACTGGGTTTCCCAACAACTTCGGCTTTCGGCCTCTTTCATCTTAGGTGTAGATATACTACTTGGTTATCCAGGGTGAAGACACTTCTTTATGCTGATCTATATTTACAACTTGTGCTTCCTACCCATGTTATATCATAGAATTGGCGATAAACTAGTTACAAGATGGGGTGCTATCGTTTATATTCACATATATTCTGTCCTTTCAGAATCCCCAATGTCTAACGGGACTAATAATATGTGGTTAGCATAATAACCGTTGTCCTCTGTCTGACAGTATTGTAACGACCAAGGGGCGCAGTAACTAGGCCACCCCTTTAAAGCACATTTATTTCGTTTAAATGGCTAAAAGAACACTGAAATTATGTAGAATGTCGCAGTGCACTTTGATAGGTCTTGGGGTTTGTGTGTAGACTGCATCAGCTCCATCTGAGTTGATAATCAGTCTCCTGCAGCTGACTCCTCATCGAATGAAAACCGACCAAGTTTGACAACCGGTCGAGGAAATTTGTTGTTTCGCATGTTTACGTCATTAGATCCCGGCATCCAAAACACTCTTCTCCGAAGTAACACCAAATGAAGAAGAGAGAGTCTCCCTGGCCTAACCGAAGCAGTGTATTTCCTGAACAAGCGGGTGGGGCAGTTCGTTATTCAGTCATGATAGAATGTTTGTACTGAAGTGTTCACCTTATAATTTGGATAGGCTGAGTCATGGCGTTCCCTGTATGCTGCAGTGTTTTCTGCCAGATCATCATCAGCTGTAAAAACCGTGTATTTGCTGTACAGTGGTTTTGGCTGCCATAATTTCGTTCACTGATGGTTTGGGCATGTGAGGTAGATAGCTCTGCATTGGAGGCGATAGCTGGTATAATTGATGCGTCAATGCAGTGTCAGTGAACTTTTCACTAGAAAAGTCATCGGGGGAGCTATGCATGAGCCCAATTGAAGGCGTGGATGGGCCATGCCTGACAACGTCTCTAAACATTGATGTGTCGCGTCTCAGGGCCCCTATCTTGGGAAACTGCAGTTACCAGTACAACCGAGTTTTCTCGAGGTGGCTTTCACACTCCGCTGTCAAGTCATTGTTCAACCTTCCTTGACACGTTTCTACCATTTACATGGTTATGCGAAAAAAAAACTTCGAGAAAGTCGGTCGACTGGCGTACGGAGCACGTGACCAAGACAGCGCAGCCTGTGGAACATGATCAGTTCATCTATCGCTGAGGGGTTATCCTTTCGGAGAACTATTTGACCTACTGCAGCATTACTGATCCTGTGTTCCTACCGAACTCTGGCAATGCTCCGAAGATATCGATGGTCAAACACTGAGTCTTGACGTCCTCAACGCACAACGATCAGCTTTCTGACCCGTTTAATAATATGGAGCGCACCGCATCGCTGCAAACTCAACCTTTGACGAATAAGTTAATGTCACGCCTACTCCAGTGGTGATTCAGGTTCGCGAAAAATTCTCTGGCCTTCCCAATCCGGATGGAAAGATATGGAGCGCACCGCATCGCTATAAACTCAACCTTTGACGAATAAGTTGATGTCACGCCTACTCCAGTGGTGATTCTCTGGCCTTCCCAATCCGGATGGAAATGTAATCTCTTGTTTGATCACCGGGGCTGATACAGCTGTCCAGGTAGGCAAACCTGTCCACAACCTCAGTGGGCTTGTCCGCAAGCGTGAGATTAGGGCTCGAGCCCACCCAGTCTTGGAGGTATGGAACGCATGTGAGCGAATGCCGTGACAGCATTTCGACCCCACAAGCACTAGAGGATGTTAGTGAGTTTTTCATAACAGTGTAACCGACGCATTTGAAGAGGAAAGATGATACCACTTGATGCGATGATCTCAGGTGAGAGTTTCCCACAGACCTTCACGCGCCAGCGTGAGTTGATGTACAGCGCCGAGAATTTATGGGGGCACTTTTGCCCCATAGACACTGCCATAGGTCCACAGAGTCAAATGCAGCTCTCAAGTCAAGGAAGAAAATCACTCTTGGTTTCTGGAAGCAGTATCGTTGTTCTTCAATACTTGGAGGGTGAAAAAGGTTGCCGATGCGTCCTCTTTCAGGACGGAACTCAGCTTGATTTTCAGGGATCTGTCTCTCCATGTGTTCAGTCAACCTTGGAGGGATAATACCAGAAAGTACCTTCGATGCCATAGCTACCAGGCTGATGCCATGTTGATTTCCACGCAGTGTCCGCGTACCCTTTTTGAAGATAGGAATGGCTGTTGACGTGCCCCATTCTGCAAGAACTTTCTGTTCGCTCCATATTGCGCCAATGGGCTTTGTCAAATGAGGCACAAGGGACTCTCTGCCTTCTTTGAATAGAACTGGATACAGACTGCTTGGTCATGGTGCCTTCTCCTTTTCTATCAAGAAGACTCAGCTATCAGTATTACACATTCGATAACCGCAAATAACTTCATTCATTTGTCCCAAGGACCGAATTAGGGTCTCTAGTCCTACACAGTGATGTGCGGCATGTCCTACGTAGTTGAGACAATCATGCATTGTGCTTCAGGATTTTGAGCGCCGAGTTGACCGGATCCAGGCCGGAATCCTTATTCGTTTTAGAGCGGTTAGGACTATATGGGTATGAGTATCTACTGCCAATCGCATATTATTTGATGGTTTGCTCATTTTAAGCGATTACAAGAATAACGGTCCTTTAATTGGTCACATCTCTACTCTAGACGTCGATCTCCGTTCCTACTCGCTTTCCGGATTTCTCAGGTCTTGCTTCACTGTTGCCTCCATCAATACTTAATATATTTTAGTAATATCAAGTCTTGAACGAGAGAAAAACAGAGTAGTGCACACCCTGAATTCTTGTTTGAGAGTTTTTTCTATGCTTCTGTCATGTCCAGTGCACTGTGGCCAGAATAGAGTTCAGATGTGAACTTCTTGTGCGTGCGTGCATGGCATCTCGATTGTTCCTTTGCGGGCTTCCAAGGCATGGAACCCCTGTACTTTCTAAAGGTTGGATTGCAGCTGTGAGCCAGATCAGCACTGCGGCCGAACGTGTTTCGGTTTATATCTGTAATGCACTGCTCATTAAGTTGCTGAAAATTCGTCGACACTCCACAACCGGTTTCGCCCTTCTTAGAGCTCATTTGCCTGGAAACATCAGCTGAGTTCCAGTTGAGTCTCGCGCAAAACCAAATTTGTTCGCAAATGAGTGTATTTCGCTAATTTCGCGCAATTTGGTCTCATGTAGAACATAAGGTTGACGGAAACTCGGGGACTGCGCCTACCTGATGAGCCCCAAGAGCGGCGTAACCGGTCGTGGGCTGTCGGCGAATTTTCAGCAAGCTTATAAGTAGTTCATTACAGCAAGCTTTTTACAGGAAGCTGAACCAGTTTCGTGGATGTCTTACTTCAAGCGACTGGCTTTGTAAATAGCCCCCAACGCTCAATTTCACAGATCTCTATGGAGCTAGAGAAAATGTTCTGCTCACTTTGATTGGTGTACTAAGAGTTGGATCACTTTGGTGCACATCTGATGAACAACTTTGTGGCGCGTTGTGACCACGAATGTCTGACCAGGCGTGTGGCTCCACCTTCAGTGGAAAACTTTTACCTGTCACCGTCATACACCCAGTGACACGCAAGAATCGACTCAGAACTTGTCGTGCAGATTTAGCCTATCTGTCGAACGCTGATTGTGTTTCTTCTCATTCTGGAAACCCGAGAACACCAAATAATCAATGGTTGCTATTGGTCGACTTTGCTTTATCGATCATCCCATTCAGTTTGCAATTAGTTGTCAGTGTTGGCCGTAATTTATGTCCGAATTCAGTTGCTGTGGTCGATGTCAGATAATGTGACGTTGGTTGCATAGAAGTTTTGCGGACATTTGATAAACATGGCTCAGTCACCTCACACACTGGTCGTTATGTAATGAGCATGAAAATTTGGAAATTACCAGGTTGCGCCAGCTTCGCTGAATGTGTTGATCACACGGTACAGGTAGATTTCTTCAACATTTAGCGTGAAAAAATTGTTCAGCGGTAGCACCCTTCCGGTGCCTAACTGCCATGCCACCCGAAGGAAGCACGAGGGCTGGGACACTGTCAGGTTGCCAAGCCTAGACAGGGGAAGTCGAGAGGCAGAGGTCCTGTTCGAACCACGGACCTTCTGGTCAATAAATTCGCGCTCCAACCACTTGGGCCATATGGCCCACACAAAATGATTGTCTTTTGTACGTTGTTTTCCACTCTGTCTGCCAGTAATACATATCTGAAGTGTTTCCGGCTGTCGAAGTAGCGTTCAGTTTATGGAGATTGTCTCCTGGAGGAGAATGTGTTCGCTCCAAGTCAGTCTAGCAGTTGCTGTCGTCCAATTATTGGACAACACGCAGAGCTGTTGTTTCGGTAATTAGATAGTGGTTAGTTTATTTCTCTTGACTTCTCTTCGTCTTTTTTCAAATCAGCCTACTTTCCTGCAGGCCAGCAGCTCGTTACACCTATTGGGTCGCGACACCCAAGCGAGACGTTCCCTTCAGGTGCTGATATATATCCAACTTCACCATACGGCGCCAATTTGCCGATGGCCTTCGGAGGCAACCAACCTACACTACGTGTCACCAGCCCCACGGGTACTTCGCCAATGGCTCCCATCTATCCGGGTCTCTATTCACACTTGACACCACTGGCTTCTGCTGATGTAGGTTCTCCAGTATCAAAGCTGGCTGCCATGGGTGCGACCCCTTCTGCTGTCTCTCTCAACGAACTTTTCAACTCAATGCGTTTGACTGGCTCAAACTATCCAACTTCCGAACTGCCTCAAGCGACTGATTTAAGCCAGATGTTCTCCGCACTGTCACAGCACCCAGCAGGATTCGTCAACGTTAGTGGCTATCCGATATTTTCGTCACCCACAGGGCCACCTTCTGTGCTCACCAGTATCGCCGCATTCATGGATTCCTCACAACATCCCACCGTTCAGGCCACTCCCGGCGCTCCTCCGCAACTCAGTCTGGTGTCCATCGAACCGTCTCCTGGAGCCACCTTTTCTGCAGGTAAGTGTCTTTGCTGGTCACTTTTCGTTTACAATTCCCACGCTGTGTGTTAACGTATTTGACTAATGCTCATTTAAGGGGGGCTGTCCCGTGCTAAAGCACTAGTCATCTTCACTATTCAGTGGATTGCCGTGGTCTTACATCAATGTCGAGTCTCCTCGCTCATTTTTCTCATGTAACTGTGACGTCACTGCCGTCATATCAGTAACTAGACTCATGGGGATTTATGCTTAGCCGGACACCAGACAGTTCACGGCAGGAACGCTACTTCCTCGCCGAAATTCTCATGATTTTATTCCAATACTCGTATGTAGGTTCCGGAAATCTGGCAATTTGGCATTTGTCGTCTTAGTTCCTTCCCGTTGCAGCCGTATGACAAAAAGATGTTAGTGTCTACCGGGTGCTAAGCAAGTTAAATGTAGGTAACTGTAGTTAGCTTATCACTCCTGTGTGTATGAAGGGTTTAGGTGACAACTTTGAAGGGGCAATAACAATCCTCTGAAAGTTTGCCTTCTGTTTACACGGGGATCATCTTGCATAGCATAATCGACAGCATAACGTCAGTGTTAAACGCCGATGCTTCATCGCCGTACAACCATGGTTTATCGTTAGTTGTTAGTGCAATGGTTTTCACGTGGGCTGCGATACTGTCAGGGCGCCTACACGCAGATTTGAGGACGATTAGGTTCCTCAACCAGAGCCTTTGGCTCGAAAGCCTAACTGCAAGGCAGCGGTGTTTCGCGGGAGATGCAAATGCATTACCAGTTCCATGGAACCAGTGGCCACATGTTCCAATCCCCAACCTAGAGGACCAGAAGACTGTGTTTGTCGGATCTCTAACCACCGACTAACCTGGTATGAGAGACTGAGTGTCGCGGGGATACCCCCTAGTATGCTCAATGGGCCTATGAGGTGCGCAAACCGTCACACCACGGTAAAGTCCAGTCTCTTCGTGACGGGGAGCATCTCGAGTTGATCTTGAATTGTTCTTCTAAAGGACAACTCATTCACCCTGGGACCAGAAGCTTGCTTGTGTTTCTGCGTGGGTGGCCGTTACGCGCCTTTGCATCGCTTCTTTATACAAGTCCAACCATTACAGAGTTTGTGGCATAAGTACACGTGCTATGTCAGTTGTTTATGCGTAATAACTTGCCTTCATTCTCCAGGCTCACCGGTGACATACTCTTGCAGTTGGAGAACGAACACCTCTTAATGGTTGTGATTATCCGTGGAAACGTGTTCTCATATCGACTGATTTTAGGGGCTCACCGCCTATGGCGGTATACGAAAGGTCAAAAAGTACGTCGTGCCAGATGTAGAGGTTATCATCCTAGACTATTCGATTATCGTAACCGATCCTCCTTGCTGAATAAGCAATTCAGCACTGACATTGCATTGAATACTATCCTTTGCGATGTCTGAAATGGTCAGCTTATGCATGAACTCAGTTCACGCGGTCAGCACGAAGTTGCTTCTCCGTGATACACAAAGTTAATCGGTTTTGCATCTTTTACGTATACCCTAGGTAAGCAGATGGATAATTTCTATTGCAAAACTCATGGAACCCAAAACAAAGGATTCTACTCATCATCGGACCGTTCGCCCTTTTTCTTCTTTGAGAATTCATGGCAGCAGTTGACGAAAAGGTTGAGCGCAGGACCGAGTGTATACTAACGATTTCCACATGTCTGTTATAGTGCCAAGTAATCGGATGGAGGGTATTTGCTGTCATGTTGGTCCCAAGTCACATCTGCTTCGAAGCCACGGTGACTAGACACGTGGGATACTCAAACGCGTCCCATCGCCGAAAAGAATACTGCGGTTGTACAGTAATGGACTTATTTTGTCATTGATGAACTTGAAAATGGTTTTAAACATTGCAGTTTTGCGCGATATTAAGGATCTCATAAAGTGCATACCACGGATTTCAGTAGTAAGCAAATAAACGTAAAGGCAAACAATACCATATCCAAGGCCTGTTCTGTAGATTACCACGGTAGCACCAGCTGAACGAAAAGCTGTTTTTGGCTACGCAGATCTATCTTCCACTAGCAAACAACATTGGCCTGAGCGAATTTCAAGCCTGTTGTTTACGGTGCTGGCATCAAATGCAGTTGCCGGATCGATACGATTCTTGCTCTCATGCAGATAGCGAGCAGTTGACGAGGCCGGCAGCGGAGGCTGGATGATCCTGTGATTCTGGTTTTGTGTCCGGCACTGTGATTGGTTCAGTTGCTTTCAAGCTTTCATTGGTTCGTGCTCTCCCACCCTCAGTCGAGACTGCCGTTCCGTTCTGCATAGATAGATGGCTAAACCCCCACACAAGAATCGATAAACGATATTGAATTTGACGGGCGGGGGTAACGAAACTTTGAATTGTGGCACTGGATCGCGGTTAATCTTGTGGACACATATTGGACCAGCCGCGGTCTAAGTCCTCTGCATCAGACACCATTCCACGATCTTCCTGAGATCGTCCCCCCTGAACAGCAGCACTGCAGTTTGGATCTCTGCACAGGAAGCTGAACACCTCGGGATAACCGTTAGACTCAAGAGTAGGTGAAAGTTGATCGAGTTTCGTCTGAAGTGTGTAGTCAATGCGAACTTGCGGGGCTTGATGAGATAGCGTTCCGACCGCCAGTCTTACGTTGCACCGACACGAAGCTGGTGACGTGCATATATTAACAGATTCAATCGCGGACTACAGACTTTCGAACAGTTCCATCCGTCCTCTGTTGCCTTTGAATGTAGACGAACGATAGGCTTCTGCCCCGTTTTCCAAAGAGAGCTTGACACAATTATATAGCACCTTCAGCTTCCTCTTGTATATTCGTAATGGCTATACCTCCAAAGCATACAAATTTATCTCGGTATCACGTATGAGATGTATCGACAGGAAACAAAAGGCTCCTCGATATAATAGCCAGATTGACCCCGGGTAAACTGTGACCCGAAATGTTTGCAGCCTCACTCCGCGCAACCACGCACATTTCCTGTGCGCACTTTTCGGGTCTCAGTCTGTCCAAACAGTTGGTTGTCCGTACACACATACACAGCTGTCTGCGCACACACACAGCCGTCTGGCTAATGAGATCATATAGACGGCGCAAGTTTGGTAGGCAGCTCAGAGCATTACCCATTCGAATGGCAAAATGCAACTCGGATGGCGAGTCAAACAGTGGAACATAATTGCCAGCACTGGTCAGGTGTCTGTTTTTTTCACGGAAAACAGCCCATTGTAGGCGGTTTGTCTGCTACGAAGTTACCAGTAGCACACAGCGCATGATTCGGCAAACCAATAGGTGGACTACTCATTTTTCATATTGTGGTTGCACCCTGGATGACACGGGGGAACCTCAGCATGCATCATCCCTGAACATTGATTTGGGTTTTTCGACAATCTACGGCGCAAAAATAAACGATTGATGCCAAAAGAGACACAGAATCTAATGAGCCGTCTGTCCGTATTAGTTTCCGTCCACTACATATCTGCGGGGGGCGAGATGGCCTAAGTGGTTAGAGCGCGAATTTACTGACCAAAAGGTCCGCGGTTCGAATTCGACCTCTGCCTCTCGACTTCCCCTGTCTAGGCTTAGGCAACCTGGCAGTATCCCAGCCCTCGTAGCACCGGAAGGAGCTTGTAGGTAAATGAGGTTAAGTTGCCAGCAGGCTGACGCGGTTTTGTATTCTAAGAAAAAAATGTCCATACCAACCACGTTTCAAATCGACTGGATTCGTCTCATGCTAGTGTTGGTCATATTGGGGCCGTTATCAGATGCACGTGATTTAGTCCGACTGCCTTTATAAGCCGGAAATGACTTTGTCCATTATTATGACTTTCGTCCATTAGGACAACTACATTCATGTGCAAATCAATTTGGTTTTCACAGGATACTCAACTGAATCTCTGATGAGCCCAAAAAAGGGTGAAATCGGTCGTGGGCTGTCAAAGAGTTTTCAGCAAACTTTTCCCTTGACAATTAGTTGTAGGTGGTTGCGAAGCGTCGGGCAAACCAGTCGCTTCGCCCGAGCGTGAACACGTTCGCGTGCTTCCAACGTGTGTTGGTGGAGTTTTGGTAACACACTGACCTCGCATATCAGATGTTCAAGCCAGGATTCCAGCTCCAGGGTGGCCAATGATGTGCGCTGTTGACAAGCTCTAATAAGAGCGAAACTCGAGTCTAGTTATTTTCCCTTTTGTCTGGACTCATCAGAATAACTGCATTATGACTGCTCAAACGAGAGTGGTGAGTGTAGATCATGTTCATTGGATTATCAGCTGTGGTGAAAACAGCCGATGCATAATCAAACCTTGAAAAAGGAATGACGATTGTGCTGATAAGAGTAACTTAGGCTGGTCCCTGCGCGCACGGACGAGTGAGAGATATGGTTCTACACTGAAAACGAACGGTTCTTCAACATAGGTCGTCGCGAAGAAACTGTGGGTCGCTAGATCTTGGAGTGTGAACCTGGTTGCACGGAAGAATGACGCAATGCATATTCGGAAAAGTGAAGCTTGTTAAGATACAATGATGCCTGAAACACATGAGGATGAACAATAAAATCTAAATACAACTATCCACAGATGGTTCTTGTGTACCCACCTCAGAGACATCGAAATCTCCGGCGTTCTTCTGTAAGAAAATATGGTGCGTTTAAGACGTTACATTAGATATCTCAACCCACGGTATCTTACCCACAAGATCTAAGCCCCCTCGTGACATCTTCAATCAATTATTACGTGGCACAGCACAGTAAGTTACCACATAGAATGATTGATTTAGGCTGCATCTCTTACCTTTTATGCAGACGAAGCCAGCGTGACTTTTTGAACGACACTAAGCATAAGGTTTTTCTTCAGAGCGGGTTTTATTTAGAAGAAAGTTACATTCAACGCCTTCTGAAACTATCCGGTTCTCTCGTGAGGAAGACGGCTATACAATATAGATCTTTCACCGAACTTGGTCCGGACATCAACTTTTCAAGCGTTTAAAAAAATAAGCGTTTGTGTGGTCACTCGAAAATCAATAAATCCACTTTTTCTCTTCCAACTTCTCTCAGTTGAAGCAAGTCTGTGACAAATACATTAGTTTTTGTCAGGTATTTGGACATGGATTCGCTAATCACCTGGACAAGTGGCACTCCACAATTATGGATATTTCGTCTCTCCCAATAAGTAAAGCTTATCTACTTGTTTTTGCTGCAGCGGCATTATGTGTTAAATGAACTACCCAGATTCCTTGGTCTCAACAATACCATTTAATTAGAGAAAAGGTTAAGAGAAAATGTTGAATAATAGTCGCCTAGTGATAGAATCGGGGGCGGGATCGCATAGTGGCTAGAGTGAGAATTTGCTGACCGTAAGGTCCGTTGTTCGAACCCGACCTCTACCTGTTGACTTCCCCTGCTTAGGCTTGGGCAACCTGGCAGTACCCCAGACCACGTGCTTCCTTCTGGTGACATGGCAGCTAGGCACCGGAAGGGTGTTACAGCTGAACGATATATATATATATATATATATATATATATATATATATATACTACATATCTGCACACCTCGGGGCGCGAGCACAAGCTTATTCGTGACCAGGCAACAGCACGAGCCTGCTGCTTCGTGATATGTTTGTCACAAACAGGGAACACTATCAAAACACTTTGGATATAGTCATTGCACAGCAACGGTTTGGGTACGTCGTAGTAAGGCATCTCTCAAGCTTAGAGGTTTGAGTATAACGGACGAGCGCATATTTCTGAGGGGTGGTTGGTTTTGCCTGTTTCACTTGTCTACACATTCCCCAATCGTTGTTCTTATCATATCGAGTAGACCGTCTTTTGAGGGGATTTAAAACTGTCGACATCTTGCAGACAACACTTGTAGTCACTGCAAATAAATTTTTGGGCGCTGTGAGGCAGGATAAACAGATATAGGAAAACAATCATCTTCAGAATTTGCATGAACATGTTCCTTTTTCTCTAACGTCATAATCCAGTATGAAAGAAAGGAAATTCCAAAGTTGAGAAGTCTTGCGAAAAGTTGAGTGAGAGAATAGTCTTGTTTTGGCAACGGCGAAGGAAATCATATGCGCGTTCCTGTACTGCCAAACGGTTATGGCGTTGGAAGAGGAGAGACAAGTTTAACGGAGTATTCCGTAAATGGGACGGTAAAGTAGAGGGTTGGACTTACATGAATGCTTACGAAAGCAAAAAAAATGCCCGGGTTGTAATTCGTTTCAAATGTGCGTGGACTCTGAAAACGAGCCAGAGGCGGTCAGAGAATGACTTGTCAGCGAACTGTGAAATCCATTACTGGCAAACTCAGTTGCGCTGGTCATTGACGTCTTCCTGGATGGGGATCGCGAGACAGGCCATATGAATGATAAGAGACATTGTCAGGCATGGCCCAGTCTCTCAATGGCGCTCGTGCTCCTTTCCCAATTTCTCCCCTGACTGTTGTATTTACGCACCAATTTATCAGCTCCCGCCTCCACTGCGCAGCTACCTACGCCACCTCCCCAAATCATCGGTGAACGAAACTGTGACAGCTGCAACCACTATACGACAAGTACGCGGTTCTTACAGCTGACAATGATGATGATGATGATGGTGGATAGGTTCAGAGTCAATAAAGACCGGGAGGTTGGCTAAGGAACGCCAAATTGAGAGGGGATGATTTATGTACAGGATTTATGTGCAGGACTCAGTGTAGCTATCTAACAAGCATCTACCATGAATATCCGTGTGATCAGTGCTCAGTGTGCTGATGGGCAACCTGGCAGTATTCCAGCTCCCGTGCCTTCTTCCGTTGGCACGGCGGCTAAGCACCGAAAGGGTGCTGCAGCTGATGGGATGGGACTTCAGGATCTCGGCTGTTATTGTCTAGGCTTGGAGAGCCTGACAGTATCCCAGCCCTCGTGGGGTGGCAGCCGTGCACCGAGCGATTTTTTTCCATATTGAAATTTTGACACTCGGGTCGTCGTGCCGCACTACTTCGTAAGCCTTCGGGTCGTGAAGATGTGCCACATCAGTGCAGATGTACATAGGTGTGGTAAAGGTGCCTAAAAAGTGACGGTTAAACAATCGTTGTGTGAGTTGCATAGTGTCACTGTCTCATGTTGAAAGGAAACAAGTGAAGAAACGGAGCTTATGGTAGAGGAGAATTCGCTTCGTAGATTCAGCGTGACGAATCCAAAGGACGCGTCGTTGTAATGGAGTGATCAATGAGAATGGCGAACTGAATTTCAGTCAGGAAGTAAGATGTGTTGGCTTCAACCAGAGAGAGAGAGAGAGAGAGGGAGGCCTGGGACAGGCGAGAAAGAATAGACGTAAGTACAAGCTGTCTTTCAACCGGACGTAGCAGGACGAAAGTAGGTCAGGAAATGGGACGTACCAACTTAAACAAAGGTCGTAAAATTTCATAAATACGTGTTAAATGTCAGTGTGATTATTTATGACGTTGATTGGTCACAGGCGAGAAAGAATAGACGTAGGTACAAGCTGTCTTTCAACCGGACGTAGCAGGACGAAAGTAGGTCAGGAAATGGGACGTACCAACTTAAACAAAGGTCGTAAAATTTCATAAATACGTGTTAAATGTCAGTGTGATTATTTATGACGTTGATTGGTCGATGGATCTGACAATTTGTACTGTGTTAAGCGCACAACTAGACACGTGCCACATTGTCCTGACGACCTGTGAGCAGAGACAAACAAATCGGGCAGAATCGCGTCCCTCAATCATGTAGTCGACACTACACTTTAGGTCAGCGTCATTAATATCTTTTTAGCTCCTGGTAATCGACCAAAACGGTTGGTTCGCTTATTTTCAATCGCGATCGGAGTGCTTACCACCAGAACGACGCGTTATCATTTTTACCCTGCATCGGTTTTTGAACGTATCTCTAAAATCGTCGCATCACTCCCAGGGACTTCATCACATTTCTTTTTTTGTCTATTTTAATACTGCTGATAGATTCGTGTATGTATATACTCCGCCGTACGGGGTTTTGCGTTGCTTTGCGAAGAATGCACTCTAGTACGACCGTGTTTGCTCATATGTGCGTAGATCCACTGTGCAAAGGAGTATGATTTTTGGCCTAGGTGGGTTAATTGTTTGGTACATACCCTGTTCTCAAGTTTCGATGTAGAACGTGGGAGCCGTATTCACTCGCATTGTGTTAAAACTTTTTCGGTACACTTTCTGTCAGGGACTAAGGTTCGTCGATTGGAACCATCGCCATCTGTGATGTTCTCCTGTCCATCCTTATTACAACGCCAGTTTCAATATGTTTCTTGGTATCACCTATATTCCTCTTCAGGTAGTGCAGGAGATTTGCATTCGACAGTGACATCATATGCGCCTAGGCTGCTGCAGACAAGTGACTCAGCCACGCACATGAGCCATTTGTTTGGAGCTCAGTCCGTTCCAGTGATTGCCAGACGTCCTATGGATCCATCCGAAATCACGCCCACCACCACCACCACCTCCGACAAACGGCCTTCAGTTCGTGTCCCGGCTCCAAGGGGCACGTTCAAGCAACTGCCATCGTCCCACGCGCAGGCTATCTGTCTTTCATCACCTCCGTGTTCCCAATTTGAGTTCCCGTCGCCCACTTCGTCCTCTTCGGCCCCTGTCCCCACTACGAAAGGTTAGTCAGTTGTTGAACGATTTCTTCTTTTTGTCATCTTTTACCAGTTCAATGCTATCACTCGGTGATATCGATTGACCTGCTGACTCGAATACTTGGTAGTTTATTGGTGGATTCGTGACAGTGCAGCGGTTGTCCAAGCTGATTAGTGAATCCGCGTCCGCTGTCCCCCCCTGTGTTTGTCTGCTTTGTTCCACATCCCACAACGTGCATCACGAGACAACATCGTGACAATGAGTACGACTTAAGTGAATGGCATATCAACAACAGGTCAACTCCGGTTTCATGAACTTTTGAAGGACGCCATGTGATTTCACAATATGGTTTTCACGTCCATTTCGTTGCAATGACATACACGAGGGTAAAACACACACAGATCACGCGTGCGTCAGAACCCAGTCAGGCTCAACACACATCACACATTATCATTTGTAATCATTTCACGCCCAACCTTCCGTCACCTTGTCAACGTGGTGCACGTGCTAAGCCGTCCGACATAGTTACTTCGAAAGGTCTTATTCTAAAAGAGGTATGTTCTCCGCTATACTCGCTGTTTGAGTACGTCGACTGTATGCGTACTACTTACTGGTTTGTTGTAGTTCTTGGGCGCAAACGATAATTGTATGAGAATCATACGAGCAATCTAACCCCACTGTATTTTCTATTGTGCACACAAAGCATGTCCTACCGGCGCAATGTTTTTGATACCGTGATGAAATAGGAACCTGAGTTTTTTGTGATCATGAAGGTGACAATTGTGGCAGATCGGATTTTGTCGAAAATGACCCTAACTGACAACGGATCATGTTTCAAAAGTGAAGACTTTTGCAATAGCTCGTCATCCAACAGCTAGCCGAACACGTGCAGCAACGTCACATGAAGTAGTTTGAACCGGATCCCCAGCAAGCTATGTGCTGTATGCCTGGCGAAGCCGCCGTGCAGGTTAACTGAAAGCGGGCTTAATACAGTTTTAAATACAGCATCTTGGTCTCCAGTCTGTCTATGGCGTCCCTGGAAATCTGTGCGAAGTTGACCACCAATGTTTTTGAGTAGACAGCTGAAATCCGGAACATTCACTAAACCGTCTCATACTTTCAACTGCAGTGGAAGTTCTACCTTTCAATCTTTGACAGATCACGTAGGATTAGCCATCCTCATCATGCGCACTATTGACCTTTATTGAAGGATGATTTTTCCGAGACGATGAGTGTGATTAGTCTGGTCACTGATCATCAAGTCGCACCACAAATTCTTCACGCGGCACCGGATGACAAATCACCCTTACCCCTCATCTGTCGCTACTTCTTACCAATCAGGCTGACCAGAGAAACTACAGCTGCCTGCAAAATTTTCTCCACTTCACCTGTTCCTGAATGAGACACTTTATCCTTATTCGTTCACATCGTTCGCCGTAGCAGTGTTCAGGTTGTACATGTCTTCGGCCCATCGTGTGAATTGCATCCCAGAGAAATATATTCGTGAGGCGCGCAGCCACACGAGTTGAATTAGCCACAGCTACCTGCCATTCTGCTAGTCCTCCGTTTCGATTGATGCGCTACTCGCGTTATCATCGCCCCATACACCCTGTAATTGGTAGTATGTCGACCGGCTATAATCGTTCAACTGTAGCACCCTTTCGGTGCCTAGCTGCCGTGCCACCAGAAGGAAGCACGAGGGCTGGGATACTGCCAGGTTGCCCAAGCCTAGACAGGGGAAGTCGAGAGACAGAGGTTGACCGGCTAAAACGACCAAATTCATTACCAATTTGATGGCTATTTTAGTGGTCAGTGGGGTATCAGGAGGAAAGTCCCAAGTACCCCCGTTATAACCCGTGTAAAGAGAGAACCTAGTGAGAATAACGCGACCTTAAGTAAGGTAGATAGTTTTTCAAGAAAGTATGAAGAACGTAGTTGAATGAAGGAAATGGTCGGGGCGGGAAATTAGGCGAAACCCCATTCGTAAGATAAAATGCATTCTTGTGAGGTAACTCCAGTGTTTTATTGCGCATACCGATGGAAAAATCGTGACTCTAACCAGAAAAAAGCATGCATCGGCTTGCTCGTCTGCTGGTTGCCTGAAGGAATAGAACTGTTTCAGTGCCTCTCGCAAGATCAGCACATCTCTCAGGGTTAAACTCGGACCGGTCCCCATGGTTTGTGAGTAACCTGTACGGAGTAACGATGGACGACAGCTTAGATTTTGCCACGAACAGACTGAGTCCATCATGGGTCTTGTGGTGGTGTCATGTTGCTTTTGTGGTACTGGATTCGTAATGGTAATAGTCATCTACTTTCGTTCCTTCATGATAGACCTGCATTTCCGATCCTACCTGTGTGTTTTATTTTCTGCTTATTCGAAGGTTTCTCGGTCATTAACAATCGGACAATCTTAAACGAACTTCGTCCACCTAGCGGCAGCCACTTCTAGGTTTCCGATACTGTGAATTGGACACGTAAAGCAACATTATTTTTGGCAGGCAGTAACTCGTCATGAGTGACAGGTGTGGGTAACAGATGACTCAACCACCGTAGCCTGCAGTGCTGGATGCATTCCTTGAGTGAAGTACCTTCAGGCTAGGTAGAATGCATTGCTTACAAGATTGCAGATAACCCTTCGACAGTCCGCAGTCTCATTCTTCTGGAGACCCTTCAGGCAAGTGCAGACACCGAGTTTCCGTCGATTTTAAGTTCTGCTTGGTACCTAACGGCGCGCTCTACACGTTTACAAACTAATTTGGTTTTAATCGATCGACTGAATTTCCCGTTTATGATATTCTTCAACCAAATACGCTGCACAAAGGCTGCCTCATGTTTCAGTTAGTATGATATTCGAGATATCGCAGTACATCGTTTAGACGAATTCCATTATTCCAGCGGTAGTTCCGGGACATTAGTCATTGACACATGAAGATGTACCGTATCCTCCACCCGGAGTGGCAAGTCTCGCAGCCATACAACAATATGCCTCGCACTGTAGTCTGATGTACGCTTCCTTTGAGACCCAGCGATTTTCCCTTCTTATTCGATGCCACAAGTGGCGCGAATTGGCAAACTCGATTTTGGCCTTCGAGATTAGTATATTCATTTCGTCCGTCACACTTTAGTCGAAGTTAATGCAGCTCCCGAGGTATGTATAGTGTCCCACAATTTCCAATTCCCCTTGAGATTTCTTAGTTGTTGGGGGCGGGAACTTACTAACCGCAATGTTCGTGGTTCGGGCCATACAATGCGATTTCGACTACTCCTTTCTAGGTTTGGGCAACCTGATAGTATCTCATCCCTTGCGGGCCATACAGATTTCGACTGCTCCTTTCTAGGTTTAGGCAAGCTGATAGTATCTCATCCCTTGTGCACTCTTTGGTGCGACAGCCTGCGTGCGTGTGCTTGAAGATTCCTTTTTTCTCAATTTCACCTCGGGACTTGTAGAAGCATGTTCAAATGGTGCGTATCCCGCTGCACGACTTTGCACTTTGTGATTGTATGCGCACACGCCGAAGGGCTGCACAACGTTGGTCAACTTTTATAGTAATGCTTTTCGAAAAAACGAGAACGATGTCGTTCTCATGCTGTTCTCTGGCCCTGTCCAACGTGCTCTCGTAAGCATTGCAAGAACTGCAACGGCAGAATCTGCCGCTCTGTGATTGACACGCTCACTGCGAACACTTTGAGCACTACTATAGGCTGAGCCCAGTTGGTCATGACTATCTTCTCCACCCTCCACTCATGGACGACTTCATCTATATTTTAATCAAAGAGACGCGAGTTCGTTCGGACCAGTGGCTGGGTGTCGCTTGTGAAATGAATGGCACTCACGTTTTTCTGAAGCCGCTGTAAGCTCGAGTTTGACTTCCCAGGACCATATTTCACATTGGAAATTCGGTTGAGCAATGCAGTTGTTCAATTGAAGCATTACTGACGACGTTTAGTCCAATGGTTCAAGGGTTTTCCTTCTTTGTAGACGTGTAAATTGTCATTGTCTTCGACTATGGCATCCACCAAAGGCGTTTTTGGACCGGGTGACTGTATCCGTTGCAATGATTTTCGCACCTCCCGAGATTTTCTCGTTTTTTTGCCGTCTCCAACTTTATATACCTGGCAAACTTCTCCATCCGAGCAGATACTCCTTTTCGTCTGATGTCTGGTGGTCTGTCGAGTTGTATTGTACCGTCGACCAGGAGGTTTACTTACCCGAGCAATTTTGGAGTTTCCTTGGACGTCCAGTGCCCGAATGCTGGTTGCATTGTTCACCCAGAATCTCGCATCCAGTGTCTGTAAGTAACTTCGGTACGAGGTTTTAATAGGTTTGCTTTGAATTAGGGTCCGACAGCTCCTCTGTAGCCAGGTGAAGTGTGCTTTTCTTGCGTGTCCGCCGAAAAACGCAAATCAAGGTGGCAATGGACAAGCACGTTTTCTGAATCCACACAAATGTTCCAGAACGAGCGGCAGTCAGCACCATGACCACTGTGGCTCGTATATGAGAACACCGCTTGACCACATGTTTTTCGTCGTTTTGGAAGTTCGTGCCCCATAGAAGGACTCTTTCGGCAACACATAACTTCAGCAGG